TGTTGCGAACCTGAAAGTGTGCAGGTGCCCTGAAAATAGAGTGAACAGAGATAATTTTAACAGATTTCTGATGGTAAATGAAGTAAAATAGAAATTTTTCCAAAGTCCAAAGTGTAGCTTCTTAACACTGGCACATTCATCTGTTTGGTTGAAAGTGAACTTTGTTGAAAAACGTTTAATTACATGGATTTTGAGCGAGATCACTTTTTGACAACAGGTTTAAATATTCTGCATGAGTCTACAATGAAACAATGACTATTCTGTTTGAGTGTGTTCTATGTGACTGTCATTTAAGCTGCTGACTCACACTCATGGCTTTGCATGGATTCATGGGAATAGGGAAACATGGGAGACTATTCACACTCTTCTTTCATTCTGAGCATTATAAGTAGGCAGCAATTTAAAGTTACAGAGATTAAAGCCTTTTTAAAAGGTTTTCCTTATAATATAGGAAACTCATCAAAACTTGATTATGGCACCCTTAACGTTTTAACTGAATGTACCGAATATCTCCTGAGTCACTAGGAGTCCTGTCAGCAAACGTCCTGTCAAACCTCAAGAGCCAGCGAAGCAAAACTGCTCATTTCAAGGAGGATCTCCAGGGTGCCACGACAGGAGGAAGACATCCGCTTTAAATATGCATTAGCCCAGGGCTCCTCACAAAATCACACACACTCAAAAATAAAATTAAGTAAAAAATAGTTTTAAACAAAATACTATAACAGTTAGTCACTTCAAGCATGTTGGTTCACTTATGTGGTTTAGTCATAGATTAGTTTTGGCTTTTGGAACTATACCTTCAGTTATAAAGTGGAGGAGTTTCCTTTTGCAGGTTCTTAACCAACATCAGCTTTAATAAAAGTGCAATTATCAAACTTAATCCATTGAGAAGTAAGGACTCAAGCATACTGAGAAAAAACTGGTTACTGCAGGTTTTCATTGCAACTTGTTGAACATGTTGTAAAATAAACGTTTAAATACTTCAATCACATAATTCCTCTACGGAGGACATCATTTACACTGAAAGCAAAGTGTTTGCCACCTTAAGTGTTATACTGTAGATGATGACTCTGAATCTTAAACATGTTTTACAAGCCTGCCTCCAGATCATCTTCTGTTTTGAGAAATGACACTCTACTTCTCCAACACTCTTTTTAATCATCTAACGGTTAGATGATTTTTAACTACATTTGGGTTAGATTCTAACCCAAATGTAGTTAAAAACGTGTTCAGCTTCGGCAGGAGCATCGCCTTGCTCCCACACGCTCATGATTCCCTCATTTGCCACTCTGATTAAAGGCACAACCAACCCCAAAACCTCAAACCCCAAACCTCTGTGATCAGATGTTTGCCCCAGATGTTTGGCCAACTTCCGTGCCGCAGAGCTGGACTCTTTGGGACCTAGTTTAATGTGTGCTTAAGAGACCGTGGGACCAGGCGAATGCTGTGCTCTCTTCCTCCAAATATCTGCCATCATTTATTCATTCACACTCCCAGGTTGGCCGCTGCTGCCATCATCTGAGGACCCCGGCGTCTGAAGTTCTCTGCGTCTCTGTCGCTCAAACGCACACACGCATATGTACGCACGCACATGCACTTTGCTAGCAGTCCCAGAGGTCTTTTAATTTTTTGAGAAGCTATTTTTAACGAGAAAAATAATCGAGGTGGAAAGTTCCATCTGTCCAACACTCTAGTTCCAGCTGCTCCTTTTTAGTAGCAGGCGGAAAGAGGAGGGGGACAAAAACGCTACTTATCAGATAAAACTGATCCAGACGGGATTTTCTATCATATGCAATCTGCATTAGCAGGATATTGCGAGACATGTTCTTTGGATACCAGGTTTTTTAACTGCTAGATCACCTGAGGTTAAACAACTGAGAGTACTTTAAAATGGCACGCTGAGCTCTCTCCACACGTTTTATATTTTCTAAGCTTGTATCACTCTGTTCTTTCCATCTCTCATTATCATTTTAACTACCTGCAACTGTTAGAGAGAATAATTGACTGGGGGAAAAAACAAAGTGGCTTTGAAGTGGCAATAGAAACACACCAGTAAACATGGTTTCGGTGATTGTAGATTTATGTTAGGACCTGCTTTACATGTACAGGTATTAAAGTGGCCACATTTAGCTTTTCCCTCCACAACTGTGTGTATTTTAGCCTGAAAACCATGACGACTGCAACTCTGAAATCAGTGCAACTGATTCATATTGAGTGACACATTGATTGAAATCAAATCCACAAATTGAGCAAAGGACACCATTTAGACAACAAACAGACCATGCCTGCTCTATAATTTCATACTTTAGGCAGACCCTTAAAGGTTAACAAGCTCACAGAGAAAGTGGAGAAGGGAGCTGTTCTAAGTTCAGCTTTGATGCAGACATGAATGCCCTGAATGTCAATGAGCTAAAGAAACACTGAATGTTGCCTTTTTTATTTGCTCCTTGTCCTCACTGGACTCTTTTTTTCAAACAAACAGGACAGTGATATGGGAGCCTGGAAGCTTATCCAAACATTTCACCGTCACAATATATACATATACATATGCACATTTTAAATGTTCTATAGGATCTGTTATGCAGAAAACCAAAGCAAACCATAGTTGATAAAAAGTTCAGAGCCACCACCGCCGCTTGAATTTAATTTGCTGAATTGATTGGACCTCCGGATCGCTCGCTGTAACACCCTTGAGGGTTGTTCTGGGTAAATCGTTAAATCCAGGCATCATGGACAGAGCCGCTCTGTGTTGGTATCGCCATGGGGGTTTGTTCTGACAACAGCTGAACCAATCTATTTTTTGCATAGAGCCTCTACTGTTTATTCTTCCAACTTTTACAAAATTTCTTCAAATTCTTCAAGCACTACAGATCCGAACTGCCAGACTGTTCTTCACTGTGCAGCTGTATTTCTAATCGAGAGGAACGGATGCAATATTTATGTGTGACAGGGGAGGGTTGATGGCTAAAGAAGGACAAGACATGTCCTCTAACTAACGCTGAAAGTACAAACATGGCCGTGTATGAAGCCTGTCCGAGTCACTTGTGAATTTTACTTCATTTTTTCATAGTTTGTCATTGTTTCTCATCGTTTCCTTCTTCTTCAAACTTTCCTCTTTTCACTATGTTTACTTGCTTGGTGTGCATCCACAGCTACACATGCTTTCAAACTATTAAAAGTTGTTGTCATAAAGCTATCGTATTTATTTGTATCTTAAATTGAACAAGTAACATCAAATAAACGATTCAGGCCTCATTGTGTACCCGCAACAATTTGGTGTCCCCTAACATAATGAACTGATCAGATCAATGCAGTGACAATGTCTGACATGCAAAAAGTGGAGGTCAGTACACACAGCCAAAACAAGCAACCACAATCAATACTGACTTTGCTGCATCAGAGTGTATTTATAGAAACACAAGCAGCTCCCCACCAAGACGCAAGAGGAGGGAAGAAAAACTGCCCAGCAAATACAGCTTCTTTCTGAAGAAGCCGCCCTGTTAATAGAGCTGGGCAGTTTATTACTTCTATAAACTCATCCGTAGACTTGAACCTTCACCTATTGTTATTTCTGAAGTTGTTTTTTTTATTTGATGGACATGTAATAAAGAAAATAAAGAAAATGGTTTATTTTGAACCTTTTTTTCAGACAATTGGTCGGAATAATTTAAATACATTTAGTGTGTGTGTGTTCCCTTAAGTAAAGCTGACAAGACGCCATGCATTCACTCACTTTGGAGGTATACACCTAAACAAGTGAGCAGCGGAGTGAAACACATTGTTCTGTCCAAATTGACATGTCAGGCCAGATTGTGCGTGCGTGTGCGTGTGCGTGTGGTTCAGTGAGAATGCTTTGTGTTTCCTGACATGAGGCTTTAAGGGAACTTGGTTGGCATTGTCTAGCATTGTTTTGCTATGCTTAGCAATTGCTCTCATAAATGTGCATATGTGTACACTAGGTGAAAGAAAGTTTAATGAACTCATTCATTTCAAATATGAATAATGCATCCTTATTCATTAAACTACAGCATATTTTCATGAATAATGATGCTCATTTATTGTACCATTAGAATGTCTTTAATGGGTTCTCTAGTAAATCTAAAATATTCCCAAATGCCTTTCATAAACTATAGAAACCTTTTAGTATTTATAAGGGCTTATACCAAATGTTGCTTTATATTACTTATATTTTAAATTGTTTTATACTAAAAAAATGCCAACAAAAACTTGTGAAAAACTAGCATTCTTAAAACGTAAGATAAGCTTACGAAATTACAGTAAAACAAACTTGCTATTAGGTGCCCCACACATACATTTACATACAATTCCCCAAAGAAGAATTATGGCTATAGATGATATTCTGTTTCAAGATATTATTCCCCTGAGCTGCCTGGTATACCATGCTTCTCGTTAATCAGTCTGCACCGTTTCTATTTCAAAACACGGACACTCTCACCATATGTCACGTGTTAATATTCGCTGGTGGTTGAGTGTTTTAAAAACCTTATAATGTTAGACCTCGTGTGTACGACGCGCAAAAGCGATATCAGGCACAGCAGAGACCATTAAGGATAAGACGGGCACAGTCAAAAGTGTTTTAGGAGAGATGACATCGCAACCATCAGGGAAAAGTCATCCTAAATCGGTGCTTTAGTTTTTTGTGGAAATGCCGGGGATTTGTCAGACTGATCCAAACATACAGTATTAAGGAAGAGGGGGATCAAATGGATGTGGCACGCGCTATTGGATAGGAGTTGAGCCTGTGGCACAATTTAATTCCAAATACATCTGTTTTTGCAGCACTCATCCACATGTATCGTAATACTGATTTGTTCACGTGATAGAAAATAGTTAAGCCTTTTGGAAAATGTCATATAAGTATAACCTATTATTATTATTATTATAGTGTGTGTGTGTGTGTGTGTGTGTGTGTGTGTGTGTAAGGACTTGTGCTATAGTTGAGCAGAGATAAACAAGTTTTCAAGTGTCACACAACTTACCCTCCATGCAGAAAATGATCATCCAGGCTATCCATAGGTCCGAGTTATGAAACTTCACCATGGTTCGTAACTGTTCAGTGACTGGTCCTCAGTTTAAGCCCAGTGCCTTCTTCTTTATGAAATCTCAGTTCTGCTCACAGTTTCCTTGCAGATAAGTAACTGTCCCTTCTGATGGCACGAGGCATGAAAGCTGTTCGGAGGTATTACGCTGCGCACACCAGCGACATTTCCACAAAAACAACGTCAAAAAGTATTCAAAAAAACAACACAGTGAGCATTTCTATCCAACGGGCACTTGTCTCTCCTCCGGCTCTTTTCAACTCCTCCTTTCCTCTCGTTCTTTGGTAGCTGCTGTTCACTCCAAGACTGTTTTATTTCCTCTCCAGTCCGTTTACGCACGCTAGCGAACACTAAATGTCCACCTGCTGGTGAACAAAAATATGCCCACTGTCGCTGAAAGTTACTTACAAACAGATCACAAACTGGCACTTTTCCCGTCCGCTTGGTGAGTCTCTCCAACGCGTCTTGTTGCGCTCCATGGTTTCCAGTCTGCTCAACTGCGGCTGATCCGACCTGGGAGCAATTCACACAGCATCGGTAACAAGAAGACTTCCTGTTTACATTTTCCAAAGTAAAACATCCTTGGGTGTTTGCCAAAGGACACCGGGTCAGACCATCGGTCAGGGTTGAACCATTTCACTCCTTTAAACCTGTGTGCCCGACACACGTTCAAAAAAGTGTTACTCAACAATAAAAGTAAAGGACAATTAAAATAATTGTGTTTGAAAAAATGTTTTGGGAAGTATCAAAAGTCGTATTAAAATTACTTTTCTGAACAAACCATATTGTTTATAATGTCAACTCCACTCTTAAGTAACACAACACCACTTGTCTCTACTCTATAATAGACTGTAAGACCACATCAATAGGCCAGTAGTAAATGGTCTTGCGAGAAAAAGCACCTGAAATCAGTGTGCATTTACTTTGTAGGTCAAATCCACCTGACTTCCTGTTTCAGTGTGAGTGTGTCTGTGCGGCTTGGTGGTGATCAGCAGAGGATGATTAAGATGAGCTCGAGCCGGGCTGTTGCTGGGAGACCGCTGACGCCAGACGAGAGAGAGAGAGAGACGTTCATGCCCCCCTGCGGTGCAATCACAGAACAACAGAACAGAATAGAACAAAATGAGATATCATATCATATATTTAAATAGAACAGAATAAGATATTGCAGAATACTGTTAGATAGAATACAATAGAACAGTAAAATAGACATAGCAAAAGATAGAATATAATTGGATCAAATATAGTTGGTATTCTTTATGACACTGTGCATGATTTCCTGGATAAGTATTTTTTCTTTTACAATGTGTTCAGTAAATTCAAGTAAATGGATACATTACATTGTACATTGTAAAAATCTATAATATAATGCAAGGATATTTTTATTTTTGTGTCTTTGCTAGAATTAGTTAACCTCTTTGATTGATGTTGTCATAACAGGCCCTTTCTTCTGAGTCATTCCTATTATTTGAAAAGTTGATATGTAAATATCAGTCTAATGTCACTGCGAGGACAGTTTCATTCAGGTGAGTGTTTCACACATTAGCTTTAACCAGCATGCACAACACAGACTACAGATATACTGTGTAGAATATGCTGTGTCTTTGTGTTTTAACTCCCTTTTTATCCTAATTGATCAAAGCTTGTCATTTGCAGCATAACTGAAACTGTGAGAAGTGGGTGCAGGCTAAGTAACTACTCAGCGATTCAAAGGAGCCGCTGAGAAGACTGCATCAAACAACCTGTGTTCGCTCTGATCCACTGATCACACTCAGCTCACCTCAGCACTAAACCACTGCTTATATATCTTACTTCACAGGCTGGTCATTGCACAGTGTGTAAGCTAAAAAAGCTTTCAAAGCTTTCAAAAGAGAAACCTTCTGACTGAAGTATTTTTTGAATGTTCGATCCTAATTTGATTTTTTGTTTGACAAAAGGTATACTCAAAGGGAAAAACATGATGGGTGTAATCCACTATACATACATTCCTTTCCTTTATTCCTTCTTCTACCCTGTAGCTGTTGAAAGAATCTCACAGACATGAAGCTGTTGCTGTAGACAAATCAGGTACCAGAGTATATTAAGAATGCCCAAGGTCTTTATGTAAGATGACAACAAATTACAAAAACACCTGTAAAAACATCTTCAAATGGCTTCCTATGTACATATGGTTACCATTACGAAAAAGAAAGGTTGCAAATACTTACACTTGAGAAGCTGAAACTAGAACATATTTAGTATTTCTGCTAAATAAATTCCATAAATATTTTACAAATATCAAAGTAGTAAGACACATATTCTGTCATCGACTAATCATTTCAGCTTTAGTTCAGTTTGAGCCAAGACACTGTGCTTAATCATGTGTTAAAGCACTTTACGAGATATAATAATAGCGGATGATTGCACCAGTCTGACATCCTTACCTTTCTCTAATGTTAACTGAGGTTTGTCATTCCATTTACCAGAAGCTATGGACAAAGTCATGTCATAACAGTGATAAAATATGTAAAAGCATATGGCATTCTAAATATAGAGACACACTTTTGGCAAATGAAACGTCAAACACGAGAGAAAGCGTTGTAAATCACTCACCCGCTTCAATATTCCTTAAAATATTATAAAACGTGAAGATGATTGATAGAAAGATACTTGATGCATTATTGATTATTTTCTGAAACCGCTTACAATTTCTTTTTTTCCTGCAACCCCATAAAAGATTTAAAAGGCCTGAAGCAGATCCTTTAATGTAAATATTGTAACTCTCTTGTCCTGACCGTCATGTCTACAGCACAACAACAGACTTTGAATATTGATGCAAGGTAAACAGATAATCCTTTATTTAGTGATGTACAATGTATTTTTTTTAGTAGTTCTATCCATCGTTCAGATATTTCACTTTTCAGAAATATTATGTATTGTTGCAATACAGTACAATCTGAATCGACAGTGTGCCCTACAGTTGTAGAATATATGTGCTGAACTTGAGTACAGTAAAATATTTCCTTTTTAAAATGCTGTGTACTTCTTGTGTTATAATTCTATGTAAAATAGTGTTACTTTTACCACTTCATTAATTTTAAACTGTTGCTTTTCAGTTTATTATTTTACATATAGACTTTAATGTCATTACATGTGATTGTTTTAGATTATTCATAGTAAAAGACTCAGGGAAACCTTTAATATAAAAGGGCTGCCAATAATGAATGCATCAGGATGATCCATATACATTTTCACAGTAAATTGTTTATTATTCTTTTGTCTTAGGAGAATCTATTTCTGTTTTGTAATTTTAACAATTACAATGACAAACACTATATTTGCATTCTTCTAGGTGTGGACATGACATTTTGAGAGCCCCTAAATATAGAGAACACTGCCATCTGGTGGTAAAGAAACACACTTTACTTGACAGGAGAACCTAATGGGGAAAAAAAGACTCCTGCAGGCTTTTTGTTGTCAGAACATTTACTTCAGATTTGTTTACACAAGACCAGCATGTTTATGTGAAACCAAAGAAAGTACAGAAGGAAAAGTTGGTACTGCTGCCCATTCATAATGAACTGTCCGGTCCCAGGATGCATCACTCCTGAAATGAGAAAAAAGGACAATGCTGTTACTGCAGACAGGATACATGATTTATTCAATAACATCTAAAGTGCCACAGCACCTTTTGCATTTTTTATGGATCATTCTTTGTGGCAGCAGAATGAGCTGTAACAAGCACCAAAATGACCTTGCTTTTTGGATCAGTTATTTTATGAAAGTGTGACAGCAGTCTATTCACTTTGATTGATGAGATCAACAACACCAACTCTTTTGTGACTTAACTTTCTGACTGGTATTCCTTCTCTCTCTAGGCTTGGTTTGTTCCTCTAGTCATTTGTATTAAAAAAGGCACAAAATGCACACAAATGGGACCATGATCCGATACTCTTAATGAATTTGAGGGAATTCATCCCGGAAAAATATGAGACAAGTGGATCTGAGTTTGGCTGCAGGTTAACAAGCTAATATGTGCCTGTAGATAAACAAGCGTTTCCGCTTGTTAACAGAGCTACAAATAGCATTCACACAAAGGAGGGTGTGGTGTGTCACATATCATCACAACCTGCTCTGCCAGTAAGACCTGTTGTGGAGGTTTCATACCAACAAGCCATTTATTCAGGTGCCAAGCCTTTAAAATAATAGGTGAGATGATGTTACCAGTAGAGCCGCATTTTAAGTCATGTTCCTATTCAAAGAAAGTCTTGAGAACTTCAAACGTGTAATATGGAAACACAAACTGAGCACTGAGGGGAAATTAAAAGTTGCCATATGGATGTCAACAAAATTAAACACTGCTATATTTTTTAAGTTAGCAAGATATATATTATGTAAGATACATCTCTAAAATGTAGGTGCAGTATTGGGCTTACCTCATCACTGCTGGAGGATGATGATGAAGATGATGAAGAAGAAGATGAGGATGAGTTGCCTGATTTCTCCCCCTCCTTGTGTTCCTTTTTCTTCTTGTCCTTCTTGCTGTCTTTGTCGTCTCCATGCTTTGACCCATCTTTTTTGAGAGATGAGTCCTTCTTGTGAGAAGAGTCCTTTTTGTCACATGAACCCTTTTTGTCCTTGGAGTCCTTTTTGTGAGACGAGTCCTTTTTGTCACTTGAACCCTTTTTGTCCTTGGAGCCATCCTAAAGGAAATTGCATAATTTGAATTTGAATAAATCATTGATGTTTTTTTTTTTCTTAGTCTCTTATATATTTATTGTGCTTTATTCCAGTGGTCATTATGAATAGAATTAACATTGTGTTTGACAGTGTGTAATTAAATGGATTGGATGAGGCAGATTTACCAGAGAAACCTTTTGACATTGCTTTCAAAAACGCAACAAGTACATTCACACACACACCACACTGGATTACACATTCCTACCTTTTTCTTGCCCCAGGGCCAACTAATTTCATCGGAATGAGCCTCCTTCGCTGTTATCACTTCTTCGACACCTATAGCTGCACAGATATAACAGATACATATGATAAACAACTTTCAGGATGAAATAAAAGTGATATAAAAAATTTAAAAATATAAAAGTAACGTCACCAAGATTATGAGTGAAAACATACATCTCCCATCACAACAGGAGTACATAATTCAATTAAAATTGCATTGCAGTGGCTGTCTTTCCTTTTAGAAGTTTGTGTCAAATAATATATCAGATAATAAATCAACCTGTCTGGTGCAATAATTGCAAATAAATGACTGTTCGTCTTCGATTCCAGAAGTCAACTTGACAAACATTGACATTGAATATGTCAAACCCTAATACTGTCAAAGTAAATGTAAATCTGTTATACCTGACATTGTGAGTCCTGTCCGTACGCTTTACCAAACAAATGAAATGTCCACAGAGATTCACACACAGGATAAACCTGATTAACCACGCCTCAACACCTCGTGCTGACCTGAACTAGCCACGCCCCCACCACCTGATACCGCGGGGCATATACTGCGTTTATCAGACTGCAGAGTTACAATTCAAATCAAAATCAAATCAAAATGTATTATAGCCCCAAATCACAAAAACACATGCTTAAAAGGGCTGTATGAAGCAAACAAAAGCAAAGACAAAAACACAGATATCATAGCACAAAAAATATAAAAACATTATGAACAGCAACACAAGTGGTGCCATTATGATAAACGCATGTGTATGCAAAACCAGGCAGGAATTATGCTCAAGTAGATGGAAACATGGCGACATGGAAGACAGATACGAAGAGATGCGTTTGTGAGTTTATTTTAATTTTATTTTTTTAATATATTTGTATTCACATGAAAAAAGTGTAACAGTGCATAACAGTAAATAAGGCATTTTCATTTTTTTCTTTTTACAAAAGAACCCTTTCCCACTTGTCCTCAACCCAGCCCCATCCCAAACCATCCCACCGACCCTTCTCTCGGAGCACTGAGGCAACAGTACATCAATTATATACCAAATGATAGATACAATAATATACACACACATATACACATATACATACATACATAGGCTACATACATACATACATACATACATACATACATACATACATACATACATACATACATACATACATACATACATACATACGAGTTTGCTTGTTCGACGGAATATTATAATATTGCGTAAAAAACAAATGTGAACATGTGGTGGTTGATCCTTTTATAGTCTATATTTATTTCCCTATAGATCACATTCAGTTTTTTCTTGCGTTAATTTTTTTGTTTGGTATTGAGTCAATTTCGAGTGCAAAAATATGCCTTAGCCTAGCTTACTACTTACAGATTTGTGTTGGAGGCACTTAAATAAATTACATTGTTAGTTGTTGTTTTATTTTGATAGATGAAAACAGGGTAACATTGTCAGTAATAGTATTGCAGTAAACTAAGCTAAGTATGTAAATGCTTCAATTATGAGTTTCAATAACACAGTGTACAAGTGTTCCATTACAAAAATCAATGCAGTTAAAGTTTTACTCAAGTAAGTAAATAAAAGTGGGTTGTTTCAGCAAAACATAACTGTGGCATGAAAGTAAAAAAAAGTGCAAAATTGCCCTTTTCAAAGTATTTTTTTTATATAGAACAACAAATGTATTCACTCTGCGTTGACGTGCGTACTATTATAATGCCAGCTAGTGACGCTGATTTCAAGTTATACCAAGTCCTGAATCTGCACCACAGAATTGTTTTATATAAATCTTACGATGTGGAACATTGTATAAACAACAGCAACATGTTGTGTCAGAAAGTAGAACAGCTGGAATGTCCTGTCAAATTATTACCACGGTTGTTGTTACAGTGAGGAGCTCTCTGACGTCACATGAGGACATATCAGCTCCATGCATCGACGTTTTTAAATCATTTCTGAAGGAAAGACACTCTGAAATGTGTTATGTTCAAGATGCAAAGCAGAATGAGAGACAGTGTTTACTGTTACACATGAAACAGAAAAAACTTAACCTGATACATAACAAAGCGCACTGTGAGACAACACATGACACATGTATGAGGTTCTAAATCGTTTTTTCCTTTATTGTACATTACCTTGTTTTTCCTCTTTTACGTAGGTTCTGTTTAAAACTTAAACTAAAGACTATTCTAACTATTGTTCAGGTAAATAATAGTTATTAGTTCCTTGATTTACAGTATCCTAAAGCCAACAATTACGTCTTCAAATTGTGTTATGTCTTTTTGTATTTGTCCACTGCAGTGGTGGAATTTACATTTACTGGCATTATTACAAGGAGATATTGTAATATACGTCAAATATCATCAGTTGTGATATTTACCTTATTTTTTCCATTTTCAGTCTAAACTACCCATGTAAATTGACTACATTAAACACAGGATAACATCATTTTTGTTATTTTGTTATTATCATTTTAACAAAATTGATCAAAATCAATTTGCACCCTTGATTGACCTTAAGAATAAAATAAAAACAGTGCCATCGTGTGGTGAAGGAAATAAACTTTACTTGACAGAATAACTTATATTTTTTGTCAGAACATTTACTTCTAGGAATCAACACATTTGTTTACACAACACAAGTAGGTTTCCAGGAAGTACAGTTGTTTCAACGACGAGACGGAGAGAGCAGTCGGGTCCCTCAGGACGCATCACTCCTGAAATGACAGAGGGACAATGCTGTTACTGCAGAAAGGATACATGATTTATTCAATAACATCTTAGGTGCCACAGCCAATGCTGTATCTTTAATGTATGAATCTTTGTGGCAGCAGCCTGAGTCATAGCAGCAACCACAATGACTTTCACTTTTGTAGCAGGAATGTTATGAAGGTGTGACAGCAGCATGTTCACTTTCATTGATGTGGTTAAAAATAACAACCCTGACTTCCCTATCTGACGTTTTTTCCTTTCCACCCTAGGCTTGGTTTGTTCCTCTTTTGCTTTAATCATTTGCATGGAAAACCTAATATTAATGTGACCAACATGATCTGCTTCCTGAATAAAGCTTAGTGAAATGTGTTTAGCCCAAAGGTGTCAGACAGTAGCAGTTTGGCTGCAAGTCAGTAAGATTAAAATTAATCTGCAGATCTGGAAGGTCTTAACTTGATTTAAGTATAAGCTATAAATAAAAAGTAGCACACAATCACGAGGGTGTGGTGTCACAGCTGATGAATGTGCTCACTGCTGCTACGACCTATTGTATTTGTTCTACGCACTTCAACCTTTGGAATAAGGTGGGACCGTTTTTTTTACACACTGAGTTGCATTTTGCCTTTTCACAATTATTGAGAACAGAAGTGCAACATGGGAGCACTTTCATGAACTGAGCACTGAGGGGTGATTAAACAGAGAAAGGCCATGTTTAATAAGCAAACCTGTAAACAATGTATAAACTCTAACATTGGACCTACCTCATCACTGCTGCTGGAGGATGAAGACGAGGAGTCGTCTGATTTCTTCCCCTCCTTCTTGTCCTTGTGCTTCTTTTCTTTCTTGCCACCTTTGCAGCCCTTCTCCTTTTTCTTGTCTTTGGTTCCACATTTATCCTTGCCATCCTAAAAAATGCCAAAAGGTCACTTTTAATAAGTAATTAATTGTGTTGGTTTAGTCTCGAGGATAGTTTGATTCTTTTAATGAGAATTAATTAATTGAGTGAAAGGCCGCAGATAAAGGAAAATTATATAAAACGTGGACTTGCTGTAAAAAAAAATAGCTAAAATCACAGAGTAGAAGCCTACAACACTTAAAAAAACCTCTTACCTTGCTCTTCTTCTTAGAACCTGTACGAATGAAAAGATGGTTAAGTATTAGTTAAGTGTGAGTGTCTGTATACATCTGAGCTCTTGCATCTACAAATATAATTATGTTTTTCAAACATACATTGAATAATTAGTAATAATGTCAGAAGAAAATCCTGTCCTTAAATTGCCCGTTGAAAGAAACACGTATTAACATTCAAAGCATTCCTTCTAAAATCAATGAAAGTAAATGTTAATCCTACCTGGGCAATCCATGGTGACTCCTGTTTGTGCACTTCCTCAAACAAGTGACCACAGACTCACAACAGGTAATCTTATAAACCACTCAAACCACACAACCTAACCTCACCACACCCCCTAACACCACTCCCTCTGTTATTGTTGTAACCTGGTATAAAGTCATTTACTGCAGTGCAGATACGTTCAAGCGCAGGCAGATATCACAGTTAGGAGTCCACAGTACAAAGGTATCAATACTATAAAAACAGGTTAAGTTCAAATAGAGTATACATCTTAAAAGTAAAAAGTATTTTTATACATGACATGGAAGTTTTATCCCCTTTGCATTACTTTTAAATGGCATTTTTATTGAAAAGTTATTGAGTACTAAAAGTTATTGGTTGGTGATAAATAAATCTGCTATTGTAGTTAAATTATTTCAATCCGTTTTTAAAACAACAAATAGTTTCAACCTTCTTTTTGCATGTGTAAGAACAAAGACAGTACAGAACAAGTTATTCAAGACTGAACTTCCTATGAGAGCAGTTATTTTGGAAATCTACTTCTACTTATCTACTTATCTACTTAATCTGCTAAGCGCTTTGAGCACCAGAAAAAGCGCTTTATAAATGTAATGTATTATTATTATTATTATTATTATTATTACTTGGCAACATTAGTATAATTTATTTTAAATAAAAATATTTTTTTTAATAAATTATACCAATAATTATACCAATAATTCCAAAATAATTATTTGAAAGTTAAAAATGTTAACTATTTTGTATAGTACTTTGTCTTACTAACATAGTGTTGTTGTATGTTGCTCGCGATAAGAGGTGCACCCTGGGTAGAATGGTGTGACTCTACAGCAGCAGTTATGTATTACTTGTTATTCCAATAAATAATTATGAGGAACAGCGTACTTTAGCCATCCAACAAGGAAAACTAGTGTTAGAGAATGCAGAGCATCTTGTTTTTCATCTCATGCTGTATGATTGTCTCCGATTAGTTTTACAGTTCACCCGAGGAAACTGTCTCGTCATCTGATGACAGATTAGTTTCATGCAGCCCCACACCTTTAATCACATTGGAATAAAAATCAGCATCTTTGAAAAACCGTGGGCAATGGCACCTGACACAAGAAATGTAAAGTGCAATTAACATATCAAACATTACAAAAAATACTGCTGCATTTACTGTAGCTTACATGTAACTTAGCTCAACAAAGAGGTTGGAAACCAATCTTAGGAGTACAACAAATGTTTTACCTTTAAGAAAGTATATTTTCAATAACTTAAATGGGTGCTTACTCGAAGGCAAGGCAAAAACAAACCCCACCGGTACTTTAATTTGCAAACTATAAAAAGTGTCCTCCACATCTGCAGAAAAATAAATTGAATGAAATGTACTTCTCTTAAAGGTCACCTATCATGCTATTTTTAGGCAATAGCATAGGTCTCAGATATATACAAATATATAAAAAAACATGTGTTTTGCTCAGAATACCAAACAGATCACCCATTCTAGCCATGCCTCATATCCCTCTATTTCACTTCCTTTTTCAAAAGTCCTGATTTTGGGTATAAAGCTTTAAAAAAAAAAAAAATTGATAAAAAAAAAAAAAGGGGGGAGTTGTGCTCATGTGGGACCCGGCAGCTACTGTCTAAACTAAATACTGCTGTGATGAAACGCCATATCATGGATTATCAAGGATTATTTCTGAAACAGTTTGGAGCTCAAAGGCTTTCTCTCTTGCCGGTTAAACCTCAAGGTGAGTTCCTTTTTATTTCCTGCTTCTTCACACACATGCTCTCTCCAGTACATGTTAGCTCTGAGTGTTAGCGATGCTAATGTAAACACCGACCATATTACGGCCAAAACAGTCGGGCATTGTTTCTGATAGAAATGTTCTGATAGTGCCGTGGGTCCACATTTCCGATATTACGTCATATCGGACGCAAATCTGGAACAGTTCCGTTGTAGCCCCGTTTTTAGAAATATGGGTACGGAGGAAAAGAGAGAGGGTTTTATTTCTGACGCTGCGTGAGTTCCCCTGACACACCGGGGGCATCAAAAAGTGCACTTTGCATGATAGGTCCCCTTTAATACATTTAGTAACCAGACATATAAAGATAATTGTAACACAATATAATTGACCATTTTGTTTCATTCTAGAAATGAAAAACAATCAATCATTATACAACAAAGCACATGAGACAAAACAAGATCTACAGCAAGATTACTGAGACACCACAAGGCTCTGTTTGTGTCTGAAATGCACTGACGTATGCCCCACAAAAGAAATGTCATGTAATGGTTCTTTTGATAAGAATAAATTAATGTATCTATTTGAGAATTTAAACTAAATTAATGCAATGACAAAAAACCACATTGTCCATATTTTTGAATCCTAAAGTATAAATCATGAAAATAAAACTGCTTCAATATATTTGAACTTTAAAAGTATCATATTTTATTTAACAATGCCACCTTGTGGTGAGTAAAAATGCACTTCACTGACCAGAAGAACTGGAGGGGAAAAAAAAACAAGAAACAAGCCTTTTTTTTGTTAAAACATTTACTTCAATCAATCAGCAGATTAGTTTACACACCACCAGCATGTTTCAGTGACATCAATGAAAGGACACAAAGGAAGGTTGGTACTGCTGCACACTTTAAGACATACATTCATTTAGTTCAGGTCACAAGAGACTGACAGAGAGGTCTGGTCCCTCAGGGAGCATCAATCCTGAAATGACAAAAAGGACAATGATGTTACCCCAGAATGAGCAAACACTTTACAGCATGTCCTTATGGTGTACTACGTACCAAAACATACACGTAAGTTCAAGGGAACAAAATGTAAATGTATGGGATGAGGGGGTAACAATGTGATAACTGAATACATGCTGAATATATTTCCCACTACCAGGTCATTATTATAACATTACATGAGAAGGGAAATCTCTGAAAGTCCCAAATATTAAAAAGGTCCACAATTGGTCATTTATTTTTGGATTTAGGACATTTCAGTTTTTGAATACAAGTTGAAGATGATTGAAGTTAGTTTTTGTTGTGAGAGGTAGATGAGCTGTATACAATCACTGGTCATGTCATAATTAAAACAAATGGAAAGTATAAAAACACTTTAGTGAGAAGTATATTATGACAGGGCATACAATCATCACTTACCTTAGCTGTTGGATGAACAATCCTGGGTTTCAGATCAGCTGGCATTTACTGTAAAGAAAAAAGTATCATTAAAAAAACACTTGTACTAACGTTACTCCTTAACATTAATAAAGACATGTTCCTACCAAGACTGCTGTTTTGTCTGGAGTTAACCTATCTTCATTGTGTTGAAATATATACCCCTTCAAATACCCAGTAGTTAAAATATACCTACATTATAAAACATGTTTCTAGACCTTTTCCCTCTAACTTCACACCTACGCCCTGATCCCTGATCTCATCAGTACATACTGTACTTGTTCACTTGAAACAATGAGCTCTTCCAGCAGAGTGCACCTGAATGAAAAGCCTTTTGAGCTTAAGGACACAGAACTTTCAAGGGAAAAGAAACAGATTGGAGGGATTGATTTGCAGCCTTTAATCGTGTAATTGCACAACTACTCTGAGCCCTTTCATTTCTTTTGGCTGAAGTGGCCCACTGTTAGCTAAAATACATTCACTGAATTGAATTCTAGGTTGTTAGCCAGAAAGGACACAAGGCGTGAGGCAGTGTGTTCTCTTTCATGGAGGTAATTGGACAACACACCTGTTTTATTACTCTACTATCTGACCTGTTTGCCTTCTCTCCCACCCTGGGCTTGGTTCTTTCTTCGTCATTCATTCACATAAATGTGCCAAACATGGCATTTCCTGAATAAAGCTTTGACAAAGTTAAACAACTTTAGCCCAAAGGTGATGAGAAAGTCAAGTTTGGCTAATAAGCTAAAAACAAATCTGCTGATCTTGAAGGTGTTGACTAACAACGTGAGCTTTAAATAAAAACTGCACACACACACACACACACACACACACGAGGGTGTGGTGCCTCACATCTGATTAAATCTGGCGCTGTCTGTGAGACATGTTCCACCAGTGTTGTTTCAGACCATTATCACGCTGACCTTTGAGATGAGGTGTGACAGGTATGCTTCCTGCTTAGCTGCTTTTTATCCCGTTTTGCAAATAAAAGAGTCTTAAGAACGACAAACTATGGAAGTGAGTCGTGGGAACTTTTTCACCCAACTAAAACAAATAACTGCAACAATAGTCCTACCTCTTCATCACTGCTGGAGGATGAAGACGAGGAGCTTGATGAACTTCCCTCCTTCCTTTCCTTCTTCTTGTCCTTCTTCTTGTGGTCTTTGTCGTGCTTGTCCTTGTGCTTTTTGTGAGACTTGTGCTTATTGTCAGATTTATGGGATTTGTGAGACTTGTCGTCTTTGTCGGACGTGTGCTTTTTATCAGACTTGTGATCTTTATCAGACTTGTGATCTTTGTCAGACTTGTGATCTTTGTCAGACTTGTGATCTTTGTCAGACTTGTGTGTTGAGTCGGACTTGTCCTTGCAGTCTCCCTACAAATGGCAAAAGTTGACTTTAGATAATCATTGTGTTGATTTATTGTTAAGAATTGTGCTTGATTTCAATAATTATATACATCAATGGAAAGTGAGAACTGGGTTTGAATGGCTGTAGTGAGCTGGCAGCACATGAAGGGGATTTATCAGAGAAAGCAAACGTCTAAAATCAACCTTAATTGACAAATAATTATAAGCTGCTTATAATTATTTGGCAATATTGTGTACATTATATCTGGATCATATTTGTGTATCTTTGCTAGAATGTAAACATGCAAAGTTCCTACCTTATCCTTGTCCTTCTTCCAGGGCAACTTAATCTCATCCTTCTGAGCTTCCTCCTTCTTCACGTCCTCTTCCCCCCCACCTAAAGCTGCAAACATGCAAAAGAGGGAAAGTCAAACACAATCTGAGAGCAGTTGTAATCTTACATCTACTTAAATCAAATTGGCTACCTTGACTGTCTATAACATCAGGTTGCACATTTTGGATTTAGCTTCTAAAATAAAGTACATTGGATAATCAATTAGGCTGTCGGGTGTAAAGCGTGCTAAAAAAGACGTGTTGCTCTTCATGTTAGCTTATACAGACTTTGAAATGCAGTTGAATAAACATAAATCGGTGCCTACCTGACGCCAGATCGAAAGACATTTTGTTGCTGGGCTTTTCCTAACAAGACGCCTTCACCGGCTGCTAGTCTCACAAACAGGAAACTGGATAGACCGCGCCTGAATCACGTGACCAAAAAACGCCTCCAGCCACCTTAACGACAGGAGCTGTGCAGGTGGAGATAACTTATTCAGAAACTGACTATATAACACCAACCATAAACCTGCACAGCAAGATCGTTTAACTTGTATTGAAGGGTGGATACAGGTGGAAAGTGCATGTCGTATAGAGCAGTGGTTCTCAAACTTTTTTCAATAATGTAGGCTACCCCCTTTGAAAAAAAAATACAGCCAAGTAGCCTACCTGTCTGATCAGCGCAAAAACAATTTGTTAAGGGAAAAAAAAAGCCTGTATAAAGATGTACAGTAGCCTACAGTGCTGCACCATCAGTTTCTGATTTATTAAAACAACAACATTGTACATCAGAAACACTTAAATGTAAGTGTTTCTGATGTACAATGTTGTTGTAAATGGATTGTAAATGATAAATAGTAAATGAAGTAAATGATGGATTGTAAACATTTGAAATATAGCATTTATGCTACATTTCAAATGTTTACAATCCATCACTAAATTCATGGCAACCCAATTTTAACATCATGCAATAATATTACGACGACATTAGTTGCATTGAACTGATCTTTTTAAGTTGTACAATTTAGTGAGAAACATGGGCTTGTGCTTCTCGGTGACAGGGAGGCAAACTGCAGTATTGCACTTCGCGTTTTGAAATATGTGCAACTCTGTTAATATAACACTTTATACATATAATATTAATTTTACTAAAATTGGTTTATTTATTTATTTTGGGGCGTGGGGAATGAAGAGAAAAAAAAATATGAGCATTTTATGAGCATGGGATTTTGACCCCTCATAAACATATGCATATGCTGGGCTATACTTTGCGGCCACACGCCGTTGCCAAGCAACGCTTATTGTTTAGGTGTCCTTTGATAAGCAGGCAGTCATATCATTAACTAGAACTAGCTAGATCTGATAGATTTGGACATAAACGGGAGTGAAGTATAACCGGACGCAAGAGGGAGATCAGAGATCAGATCAGTTGCTGCTGACGGAGAACAAGCAGCTCTGCATGATCAAAGCTCCAGTGCAAAATACACTAGAGTTAGACCTAAGACACTTTTCTAGTTTATCTGCTCTGAAACAAGCTAAACTAGTTATAAATATATGTATTATTTACTGCTTATTACAAGTTCAGCGAGCTGCACGAGATTGACGGGCTGTCAGGAGAGGGAGAGGAAAAGAGAGCACCCCGTTTATTTTTCACATTGTATTATCCAGAATTACTGTAAACCTTTGAATAAAGTAGTTAATCTACTATTAGTAGTTTGTTTAAATGCATTACTTATGTTTTTTTGTTTTATTAACATAAAATAAATCTCACATACCCCCTGCAGTACTCCAACGTACCTCTAGGGGTCCGCGTACCCCCATTTGAGAACCATTGGGCAACAAAATATTAAAGTGCATTAAACTGGGTGAGGTTGCGTTTTATTGCATAGAAATGTTACTTTAAACGATTTGTTCTTCTTTTCAAAGTGACATAACCCTTTTTTAAGTTATAACCTTATCATAAACACCAAACCATTCATTTAGCATTTAATTGACCATGTCTCTGATTTGAATTTCACAAATAATTGAATCTAAAATGTAGAATATTATGGGATTGTTGTCTTGAAAAGTGCACCAGTTTTAACTATACTGTATGCCGTCTGCAAATAATAGGTTAAAAGCCTTTACAAGCCTTTAAAATTGGGGGACAGGATGTACTTTTGTGATCCAATGTAGGACTATCTTACTATATAAACAGATAGAGAACATAGAATATTGTGTATGTCATATTGTTACCAGCTCAGTATTTTAAAGTTCTATTACACCACTTCCTGGACCAAAATATTGAAAATGTTCGAGGACGAACCCCCTATTTTCTTCCCATTTCCCTCTTCATTCAGATGCTCCAGCCCAATATAAATGTCAATATCCAAAGCCACTAAATAGCCACAGTGACCATCATCTTAGTTATTGCTTTGCATCTGCAGACCCTGGGATTTAACAGTACCTGAAGGCAACATAAGAAAAGTAAACAGAAAACAAAACAAATAAAATGATGCTTTTTTTATTCAACACAGCAAGGTTTTTGAATTATTTCATGTGATTATAAAATGACGATTCTGCCACAAATATGCTTAGTCTTACCAATTAAAAAAGCTAATTAAGAACTATTCATACTTTTTCATTATAATTGTTTGCATAGGGTAATTATCTTCCTCAAGTTGAACAGTTTATTGCATAAAATCAGGGCATCGTTAGAGCAAAAACATCCTCAAGGGACATGTAAGCTGTGTCAGTAACATCTTATTCGCTCTATGACATCTCATCGTTGGTAAGGCCTGGGGCCTTTCAATATATCACTTGAGGTGAGGTGGGAGGTGGAATGGGTCCCAGTATCTGTGGACCTCCTTGGGCTCCCCATCAGAGCCTCCATGGGGCTGGGAGGTCTGCGACACCTATCCCCGGTATAGGGGGAGGAGACAGAGAAAGAGGGCTTGGACGCCGCTGAGAGACTTGGATCCAGCTTCACAAGGGGTTTGGATGGGAGAGACACGTAGGAGGAAACATGAACACCAGGAAGAGGAGCCCCACCAGGAGCAACACCATGAGCAACACCAGGAGCACCAGGAAGAGGAGCCCCACCAGGAGCAACACCATGAGCAACACCAGGAGCACCGGCTGGCTTACAGAAGCTGCCGCTGGGACCTGAAGGTCTGCCCCCACCGGAGCCAGAAGCTTCCATTTTTGGCTCGCCGGTTACCTCACCATGAGGGCTCTCCTGGAATGAATCAACATCACAACATGAAGGGCAAAGTATAGAAAACCAGGCTCATTCAGAAGAAGGGGACTCAACTGGGAGTAAATGGTTCATTCTGCCTTTTTTTTTCGGCCTGAGGAAATAGCTTGACTCAAAAATTACTTAGTCACCTACGAGGCCCGGGACCCCCGCTGACACAGCCTCCTAACCCCTCCTATAGACACTAAGCTCTACATTAACATCATGTGAGCCATCCCTCCTATTCCATACTGTACATTCCCTTTCCTCTGCATATTTTGCACATTTTTGTTAAAAGGCCAACTCATTTATAACTGCACAGCTCTGCCACTTTAAATGTTGATATACAGTACATTTTTCTCATATAATTACTGTACTTACTTTGTTAGCATATTTATATATCTTGTAAACATTTCTTTATACATGTATATATAATTTTATTTATATATTTGTTTCTTTTTTAGAACATAGTTCTACCTGTGATGTTTATGAATGCATCATTATACACCAAAGCAAATTCCTTGTATGTGTGAACCTAATTATGAGGAAAGTGTGTAATGCCCATCATGTTTTTACATGGTTTATATGAGAAGCAAACTCACCCTCTTTTCATTTTCACTTCCGGATGGTCCTGAACTCTGAAGGTCAAACAGGAAATACATCAGTAATTTCATCTTCACATTAAACACTGTCCGATGATATTCCCATCTCATGAGTAATAATTCACCTTTTTCTTCTTGTCCTTCTTGTCCTTTTTATTTTCTTTGTCACTGCCGCCGGAACTATCAGATGATCTGGAGTCCTGCTCAAATGTGAAGGTTAGTTGATTTATATTGCACATGTCAGACACAAAGGCAACTCAATGTGCAAAACACTCATCATGTTTGTTTAGTGAACAAATATATTATCGTAAATGTGTTTTTACTTATTACATGCTGAATTACCTTCTTCTTGTCCTTCTTCTTCTTCTTTTTCTTCTTGTCGTCATCACTGCTAGAAGAATCGGAGTCCTTGATAGAGATGAGAGAAACCAAGTTCATTTCCATCAGGGAATTGGACTTACAAATATACTAAGCAGATGGCTACATTAGCTAGCTTCACCTTTTTCTTGTCTTTCTTGTTCTTCTTCTTCTTCTTTTTATCCTTCTTCTTCTTCCTCTTTTTTTTCTTCTTATCATCATCGCTACAAGAATCGCTTGAGGACTCAGAAGAAGAATCCTGGACCGAAAAAGAAATGACAATAAAAAAATAACGCATTCTATTCATACAGTAGTCATCACCTGTCAATCTCCAAAAGTAACCAAAGATCATCAATATTAAGAGTGGTCCAAAACCAAACTTTGTATCTCCTATTTTCAACCAAAAACCTAGAGTTTAAAAACAAAGGTGGAGACGTCCTCACCTTCTTCTTCTTTTTGTCCTTTCTCTTCTTCTTATCCTTCTTCTTTTTCTTATCTTTCTTGGTCTTTTTCTTCTAAAGTTACAAAAGGCAAACACTAAGGATGAGTTTTATCTTTGTAAACTTGGGTTGTTTTTTTTGTCAATTTATTGAACATGTCAGAAACAAAACATACAACAATAATAATAATATATATCTTTTTTTTTTTTTTTTTTTCTCACTCATAATAATAATTATAACAAAGTACAAAAAAGATTTTAAAAAATAAAAATAGATTCTCAAATAGTCTCTGTCATGTTCAACAGGGGCAAGACCCTCTCTAGCATACATTTCCCAAATACAAATATTAGGTCGTTGTCATCAGCGACATGTTTGTCTCGTTAATTTGTTTTTTACAAAACAATCAGAAAGAAATTACTTTTACAATTACAAGAAATAACAAATGGGACTCTACAGGTCCTGTTCAAAACCATTCATGATTTGGCTCCTAAATAATACTTTCAGTTTAGATAGACTTGTACAATATTTCAGGGCCTCATTAGTTATTCCACAGACTAACACCTACACATAGTAGCGAACATAACATGTGTCATCTCACCTTGTCATCATCACAATCAGAGGAAGAGGAGGAGCTATCTTCAGAAGAGCAGGACTTCTAGAAATGGAAGTCAGGCATTCAGTCACAGAAGGGCATCTTTGTGCAACTCACGTTATGAGCATCAGAAGTATGACATTATTCTATTAAAACAACAACCAGTAAAGGTATACAAGCTTTCACGTGTGTTACCTTCTTCTTCTTCTTCTTCTTTTTCTTCTTGTCCTCTTCACTATCAGAGGATGAGGAACAGCTGGAATCCTGTAAAAAACAGAGAGCGGACGGATGAAATAATAACATCACACGTGCAACACTATAATATACAAGAGGTGTTTACGGTACAAACCTTATCCTTCTTCTTCTTTGTCTTCTTCTTTTTCTTCTTCTTCTTCTTCTTGTCATCCTCACTATCAGAAGAAGAGGAGCAAGAGCTGGAATCCTGTAAAGAGAAAGAGATAGAGACAAAGATGATATCATATGACTAAACAGCAACAATATAAAAGAATAGCATTTTACTAAGATATTTTTTTTAAAGAAATTTGTTTTAACTATACACCCTAACCCTGCAAAAGAGTACCGTAATTTTCGGACTATAAGCCGCGCCTTTTTTCCCATTTTTCGACGCTGCGGCTTATATAACGGTGCGACTAATCTATGGATTTTTACAGCTAACGGCCACTAGGGGACCTCCTAAATCTATGGATTTTACAGGTTACAGTCCACCACCTTTAACTCTATGGGCTCTATGGCCGGTCCGCGCCCCCCACCTTTAAGCGGCGGGCTCCAGCAGGAAAAGCTGGAGGCCGGAAAAGAGTGAGACAGGTTAGCGCGCAAAAGTAAAAGTGGAACCGAGAGTGGTACGAGAGACAGAACGAGAGCAAGACAGACAGACATTACGAGAGCGAGACACTTTGTCCCCGTACCACTGGTTGAAAACCACTGCTGTAGATCACTGCCGGTACGTGCGCTGGGAGTGCACCGTTTAAGTTTGAAAGTTGAAAAGTGTGTGTGTCTGAAACGCTATGTGATACAGTACAGTTTACACAGCACAGTACATGTTCTGTAGCTACTATTGCACTAAATGGTAACATTTGAATATGTTATGCAAAT